TTACTTAAGGCAACATAACGAAGAATTTCTAGGAGTACTTTTCTGTCTCCACACAAAATTTAAGAGAGATTTACTCATTGAAGAATAAATATCTTCAAATATTATCTGTTTAACACTTTAACATATTAGAGAACATTGAGACAAAACATGTTTGATTTCCTCTGCTGTCCTCAGATTTTTTTAAAAAAGAAAAAAGATTATTAGACCTAAATATAATTTCAGGAATGACAAAGTGTGAAGAACAAAAGTAAATAAGATCACATCACTGGGGCGCTGGTTTAGCTCAGTTGACAGAGGAGGCGACTTATGGTCATGTCATCCCCTACTCCCTACATTGTCCTCCTTATATTTCCTGTCTCTTGCTGTCCACTGAAATAAAGGCTCATATAGTTCCAACATAATCTTTAAAAAAAAAACATGTCAAGGACTAGAGACAGTAAAAATTAAAAAGTCATAATCTTTGCTTAGATATGATATCATCACAGTGTCCTTGGAAGGTCACTCCACAAAATCTGTCCTAAAAGGGTCTCACAACAAACACATCTTTGTCAAGACAGAAACTGAAAGTGATTCTTTACATGAAATAATTAAATCAATCTACTGTATTATGGAGGTTCAGGAAGTAACGAGCACCCAGGAAGTGTTTATTTACAAGCAGAAGTCAAAAGTCAAAAACACATCAGTTCACTTAGACTGCAAATCTACATTTCTTAAGAATAATGTGTTGAATTGAATTGGCAAATCCATGCTATGTTGATCATGTTTTCTTACAGCCCTAAGTGCCATTGCTAATAGTTTATCTTAAGTATAAAATATTTGGGCTATCACTGTTTATTCAAAAAATACGAAGAGTACAAATGTGCATTCTGCTCTTTGTCCACAAGATGGCGATAAGCAACTAGAGCTGGCTGTGTTCTTGGAAGCCGTATCCAGTATAATGAGGAGAAGCTCAATATGCAAGCACAGCTGCAGTGCTCCTTATCTTCAGTCCCAGATATTACTGCACTATTTACTGCTGAAAACAAACTGCAGCTGCACACTCACCAACAGCCTTTTATCTTCTCTATCAGGACAAAGCAGGACGGCAGCAATGAGCTGAAGGCCCTGATGTGCAAAAGAGTCACATTTCTCCATGTTTGTCCTCATGTGACCTATAACTGTACATGTACAGTTGTCCGTCTGCTGCTGGGGGATGATTGAGGGTGACAGGCAGGGGGTATACAAGCAGCAGTTTGTCGGGGGTTTTTGTGGAAGTCAAACTTTTAAACACGTGAGCGAGTCCTAGCTGGGATTATGTAAAGTGACTGGATCAGGACTGATCTGTGGTCTTGTTTTCTTCTTCTTCTACCTCCACATTACTAAGTTAGTTATGAATCTCTGTCATGAACAGGACAGTGGGGCATCCCAGACACTCATATGCTAACTAAGAAGACACTCTGCCTCTGAAAAAGTTGTCTTCTGTTTCTCTTCTCAGATATTTGACATTAACTTTGAATATTCATGCATGCAGTGTTCAAAAGGAGATGGCCCTTTTCTTCTCATTGTGCTAGTATTTTCTTTCAAGTGTAGACGAGTAAAACACATTGTATTATTTTTAAATGTAAAACAAGGCTTCACTGCATCGTGAACATTGATATTCTGTTTTTGTTTTTGTTTTGTTTGCCCTTCAAAATAAAATTACAGTCACAGGTCAAACGTGACTGTAATTAATGGTGAGTTGCTTAATGAGTAAAATACCACACACAGTGAAGGATTCAGCCATTTATGAAAAACTGAAGATGTGACAAAACAAATCCATACTGTGAACAACCTCACATCCTCTCAGTGTCTTATAATACGAATATATCAGCTTTTTTATTTCACACATACAGTCATATAAATTCAATGGTTTAAACCTTATACTGTAAACTTAGAATAATAAGTGTAATTGTAAAAGTAACGGTGGTTCAAAGGTTAATGAAATATAAGATTGCATCTCTGTCATGTTTTTTTTTTTATTAATATGAAGGCATTTAGTAAAGAAAAGACTTAACTAGATCATCATGTAAAATACATTTTCTCTACTTGGTAATAACCTCAAACATGTGCAGAACTCCCTTTTATAACTTAACAACAACCAAACAACAACAAAACACAAACATGTTGTATTAATGAAATGTAAAAAAAACAAAATCTGAGGGTTCCTTTTTTGTTAGTTGTGTTTTGTTTTGTTCTTAGAGAACAGACTCGGGCGCTTATTTCAGAACCAAACACATCTTTCAACACATCAAGGACAACTTGATGAAGCTAACTAACAATTATAGACAAACAAAATGATTTTTCATCACTTTCCCAGGGTCTGTAGTTGTTGGAACCACTTTGAGACCTCACATACATACAAACACACACACACACACACACACACACGCACGCACGCACACACGCACACACACGCACACACACGCACACACACACACGCACACACACACACACACACACACACACACGCATTAACTAACAGCTAATTTGATTTATTTTAACGGACAAGCTCTCCTCCGTCTAATGCCCTAATCAGCATTCATACCTTGGCGTGATGATTCGGGACAATGCTTTTTTATTGAGGAAGTGATCTCACCCTTGAGTGCCAGAATCAGCCTTTTTTACAGCCCATCTCCTCTGGGCCTCATCCATCAACCAGGTGTCTGTGCGACACGGTTGCCAGACACGCACTAACTCATTTAAGGAGGGGGACATACAGAGATCTATCACTCAACATCACTAACTCACTTATTGACGGCTGATGTGCTGAAACATCTCCAGCTTGAACACCTCACTGAGCTTAAACCACAGGTGAATAAAGACATTAGTTAGCTTCTGCTGACAGATGAGAGGGCATAAAGGACAAATGGTCCCTTTGGATTTTAATTTGTCTTTCAATGAATCCATCAATCTTTATTCTTCTTGTTGGCTGGCTCTCCTCTCCTTGTTGATGTAAACATGATCACATGCTTCATGTAACAGAATATGACCTAAACAATACCTGAAAGCTGTATTTTTCTCCTGTTAACACTCCTTATATTGACCATTACCTCGATCAAAGCCAGGAAATCCAAAGGCAAAGCATTGCACATCATTGCATTGGCTGTTTTATAACCCCAGATTCAGCATGTATGAGCTGTATGTAAACTATTTAAGAGGGACTTTGTGGCATGAAAACAGCCATGTCCACCAGAAGTTAGAATAAAGAAATGCAACGATAGAAAGAAGATAAGATAACAGACAACAGGTCAGGGAGAACTCATTAAGATTATCTACACAGCATTATTTAAAGTATCAGCCCAACACTGGAGAGCAACATGTTGAGCCTTGGTGGATATTTTCTTCTTTCATTTCAAATGCAATGGTGTAAGTGATGTGTTGATTCCTATTACAAAATAATACAATTTTACCTTTACTAATTGTATTAAAACGTTTATTAAAACACAACTTTGTTTAATCTTAGATTCTGATGTGTCAGTACAGCACTCTCACTCTGCAGTCTGTTATTTCCAGCAGTCAGCTGCTTTCTTTAAGTCAGTGTTACGACAGACTGAGTTCTGGTCCAAACTGAAGAAGAAAATCTGATCATTTTAAAAGCACCTGGTTAAAAAAGTGGTGAACATTTTGTATTTAAGCCCTTTTAACACTGTATCAAAAAAACACCGTAACATACGATTTAATCTGCAGATCCTCCGGTAGAAAACAAGATCAACCTTATTATGGAGCTCCGTTTTTTGAGTCATGACTAAGGTTAAAATGTGGCCTGAAACAGACGAGTCACTGCTTGCTTTTAGCCTGGCCAATTGTGCCTGGCCACTTTTAGTGATGAGTCAACTGTCAGAGACATTTTGGCAGATTGCTGACATTTGTTCAATGCTTTAAACTGTTCTTGTTCTAATGTTTCAATTCATTATTGCAAAACCACAACTGACCAAATGTGACATGCAGAAGTGGATGAAAATGCCAAAAACAAATGACACAGATTTCCTTAATGTGACTGTATGTACACTGTTCACAGTGCAAACACCCGGCTGGGAACTAAATATTTTAAAATTGTGAATTCATGTGACCTTTGAGTGTCTCGGCAAAAATGTAACACCCAGAAAATGGGCTGTAAGCAAGATTACTGTAGTTGCAAACATACCCACACGTTATCAATCGCATGTTTTTATAAAGTTTTCTGTGCAAATACAAAATGGTTTATACTGTAATTTCCAGTGTTTTAGAGCTGCTTATAACTGCATATTGGGAACATTTCTAAAGAATCATAACTTTTTACCTTTAACTACATGCTGAGAGGGCGATCCTCTAACAAGATGAAATGATGAGTCAACGACCGTCATCAGCCTCAACAGGCATCTGATGACCAGCCCGACCCGGAGCCACTGTTAGACCTCATTACAGTATAGCTGTGTTTTATTTTTTTTTTATAGCTGTTAATTATAAATCTCCATCCAACTGAGTTCTGATGGCCTGATTGTGCCATAATGAGCCAGTGACAGTCCATTGTCAGACTCAGCAGAATAGACTGCAGCCATTTACCCGCTCTTAATGAATTTGTTTCACTTCCTTTCAGAGTCTTCATTGTGAAAGACGACACTTAAATTGTACAAGCGTTGCATTAAGGGGATCATCTTTATTGCCCAAGAATCCACCTGAGAATGAAATACTACGGCACAGCTCATCCAAACAAAGCTTATTTGCATCTTTAAACATCTCCGTTGGCATAAGACAGGACATATATACAGCAAGAACATACAGTACATACATTTAAATCAGCATATTGCTGCTGCCAAGTCGTCACAAAAATATGCACATTATAGTGTCACAGTACCTTGAGTAGCATAAGGAGCCAGACTTGGGCGATTAATTTGTTGTACTCGCATTCCTTCCGAGTTCAATCCCTTCATTTAACGTGTGCACACAAAAGACAGATTTGAGATACAACTACTCTTCACACATAAACACACTAACAGTCTACGGGCCTACAATAGCTCTACAACATTAGGATATTCAAGTACGCACTCCAATTATTACCATGATGTCTTGAATTTGATATTGTATACATGTATGTATCAGTGCTGTAGAGGAGAAGCTAGTAAAAAAATTATCTTACAATGATATTTAAAAATCTTTTACAAAATTATTATGCACTTTAATTGCTTTAATCTACTCTCCATTAATGCAACACTAGTAAATAAAAAACAGCAAACAAACAGAGCCATTTGTAAAATAAATATTACTTTGCTGTAGTACAGTCGTATAATAACATAGAGGACTCTTTCCCTGAAATGTTCTACGAAAATCAGGACGCTTATTGTATTATGAGATTCTGATTGCTTATTTACTTTGTCTACATATGAATGTTGTGGATGGATAGATACTTTATGCGATACACAACACAGCAGGGATGTAGCTTTACTGAATGTCCTACAGGCCACATTATATTACTGTGGACGTATGCTGGTATTATTGAATAGTATGAGTCTTTACTCTTTGGCAAGACTGACCTCTTCAGACACCTTTTTGAATACAAAAAAAAAAAAGGACAAACAATACGAAATAGTTTCAAGGCTTCCTAAACGCACTAGAATGCAGATTAACAGGCTTCAAGATGGATGAAATAATCCATGAGGATCTTCAAGTATCAGGTGTTATTTAGACAAAAGAAGCTCTACTTTTGGCATATAACTGTAAATATCTCAGGAAGTTGATTCCCTCTGCTTTAAAGCAGTTCATCCTTTCATCTTCAGTAAATTGGAAGCAGGTATATTCACTTAAAGTAGTGTCAAAGTCCTTGTTTCAAGACACTAAATGAAAATTTGACAGCTCCATTGACTTCCATTCAAAGTTTCATCTGGAGTACGGTGCTGCTCTAAAAGATTTTCCAGCTGTTCGCCACACAACATACCTCCCAGGGATTGCAGATTCAAAACTTTATTGCCAAAAGCTGAAATGAACAAATACAGACAGTGTCAAACCACACCATTACCCGTTATACTTCACTTTTTTTTTTTTGTCATTCCACACCTGCGTTGGGAGTCAGGATAGAGCTAAAGGCTGTCTGTGTTCATGTCAGGCTTTGGCCTCCAGCAGTTCGAGGAACAGTTTGTGCATCGGCACGCGGCCATCCTGTTTGATGCTGCAGAAGTGCTGCACAGCTCGGGCAGCCGTCTGACGGAGGAGAGGGAGAGTCATGATCAGTTTTCCTGCCCTCCGAGGGTCCTCTGGGTGGTGGGTGGCTTCGTAGTCCTGCAGGGCGCCATGGAGAACGTCCTGGAGTCTCTGAACCGCCTCTGAGTCTTCGATTTGCATGGAGTCTGTAAGGAGAGATGCATTTTATTTCCAATTCAACGTGCTGGAGAGTGAGGGTAAATAGAAGTGCACAAAGCTAAAACACCAAACCTTAGGTAGTGACTCTGTGAGGCTGAATACAAAGTTCTTTAAATAAGAATCTTACAACAGCTTGGCAACCACAGACTGTATCAAAGATGTAGATGTAGCTACAGTGACATCATCCTTTGGTTTGTTGACTAGCTTTTTTTAAGCTCGAGTCTCTTATTTGGTTTCCAAAATGTTTTTTTTTGGAGAGCCATATAAGTGATCATGTTTAGTGTAAAGGAATTACAAAATCACAGTTGAGATGTTGCCATAGAAATGACTTGTCAATCACATGTAGCCACTTCCAAATGTGTTCCCTGCTTAATAGTTTACACAATGTTTGGTAAAATGGTAAATGGATTTGAGCTTGTGTGGAGCTTTTCTAGCCTTCCGACTACTCAAAGTGCTTTTGACACCGCAGGTCACACCTACCAATTCACACTGATGGTGATGTAAAGTGCCATGTAAAGTGTCCATCAGTATTTACTAATCCATTCCTACAAACTCACACACTGCCGATGAAGCAGCAGGAGCAACTTGGGGTTAAGTGTCTTGCCCAAGGACACATCGGAATAAGAATAAGAAATAAGCATTCTACTGTAGTAAAGAAGACTCAAAACTAGTGATCGGTAATCGGTATTGATCCAGTGGTTGGTAGAATATTTTAGTCTGGACTTAAGTAGCAGATTGCATCGATATGGTCAGGTAGCTAGTGTGACAGATAATGAAAATGAATCTCTTCGATATCTACTATAATACCTGAGTTAGCCAATGCGATGGCCTTCAGGATCACAAACTCCTCCTTCTCCAGCCCCATGGTTTTAAACTTCTTCACCAGTTGAAGGATGGCGTTGTTGAGGTCAAGCAGCCCGGCCAGCTTCGATTGCTCCTCATCCATGATGTAGTCCTCGGCGTACACCAGCTTTTCCTCCAAGGCCAGAGAGCGGAATACCACCCGAAGAATCAAAATCTCCATCCAGCCGCTCTGCAGCAGACTCATCTGGTCAGCCAGAGAGAGGGAGGGGAAGCCTGGAAAATTAAAACAATGAGAATGTGTAAATTACTTAGAACACAGACAGGAAGATTTAAAGGGGACGCTCCACCAAGGTCAACAATTTACTTGTCATTGTTTGTCCTTGTCGACTTGTAAAAACATCTTTATGATGCTTTCTGTTGCTCTGAAGGGGTTTTGTAAAATCTGAGAAAATAACTCATAATAATGTCATCAGGGTCATTTTGGATTAAACAGGGACCACATAATGAAGACTTTACTTTTTTAGACTCGGGGAATGGAGTTAAAAAAGTTGGCATAAGAGATGCTAGTAGGTTTAATTATTATGGGAATAGGATCCAGCACTTTGCCCCAAGACTGACCCTAACGTGAACTGAAAGTCTGGATGTTTCAGCCAAGACCTCCAACCTTTTGAAACACTGGTTGACGGTCCACATGTTGGCAATGATTTGCATAAAGTACAATAATACAGCTGATGATTTGCCTTAAGATTTCTTCATAATATGATCACACTGCAAAGGACATAAGAAAGGACAGAGGGAGGGAGTAGGTGGTGAATTTAATTACTCTCTGTTGGACACGCCCACTTTGATTGACAATTACACCCCACAGGAGCGTGATTAAATCTGCTCACGACCTCGGCATAAAGCTGCATACACACACTCTCTCACGCACACGTTTACTGTAATTAAACAGATGATTTTATGGAGCGTTGGGGAATGTATTTTCGACACCATCAGTGATTGTTATCAGGATCCATTGCTCTTTACAATCACCACGGGGACATCAGTGGCGCCCCTTTTCCCCACAATCACTCCCTGACTGATTGGAAAAGGCTGTCTGTGCACATTTTCATTGGTCGATAGGGATCTTTATTCTAGCACCGGATCATCGATCAGGGACGGGGACCTGTGTGAGTGTGTGATGAAATATCAGACCGTGTATTGATAGATTTTAAGAACAAATACGAGCTTCAGCGAAGAGAAAGGACCTCGTTGTAAAGGGACAAATGGTATTTTGTCTTCTAATGTGAAGGGCACTGAGGGCTTTGAGGAAAAGAAAAATGGTCGTGCCAGAGTTAGTTGTATCATATCCACAACGACACACGGCCAGTCACACCACAGTCGCTCTCACACACGCACACACATATATTTGACAGCCAACTCGCAGCAAAGACTCAAAAAGGCCAAAAGCAAAGAGGGCAGTTGGTCTTTAGCCAGCTCATCTGCCAGTCTGGCCTTCAGACTTCAGCCCACATCACTGTCGCTGTGCCTGATAAGAGCAGACACAGAGGAGAGGTGGGGGGGGGGGCAGCCAGGACAGTAGCCCCCCCAACACTCACCTCCCCCTGGGCAATGAACTCAGATGGCCCAGGCCAATTTGCCCAAGACCCTGGTCCTTGCAGCGTTGGAGGCTGTGTGGACTGCCACTCACCCAGAGCTGATGTGACATGGCCATTACGCTTCTGGGAGGGAGCAGTCTTCTTTCCTTTTCTCTCGCTTTTAATATCTGTTGTTTCCGTTTTTTGCCTTTTTCCATCTACCTTTTTGTCTCTGCCTCCAGTTAGATGAGCCGTCTGGTCCCTTTTACCTCCTCAACCTGCTCCTTCAATCCTGCTATTGTCCCTTCTTTTTATTTGTCCTCTGCCTCAAGATCTCTGTCATTTCTTCTCAACTCACTATTGTCTTAATCCGCACTCTGTTCATCTGCCATTTTCTTTATCTGCCTTTCTGCCCATCTCTCTGCTTCTCTCTCTGGACAAATCAAACCTTCTCCCAATAAAAGTTATTCAATTTGATAGGATAATTTAGAATTAACATTAACGACCAACATTTCCAATAAAGAAAATGTTTATTCCAGTAAATGTAAAGGTGTTACCAGTTGATGTCTTATTGTGATTGACTGTGGGCAACCAGTCCAGGGTGTACCCAGCATCTCGCCCAAAGACAGCTGGGAGTGGCTCAAGCCTGCTGCGACCCAAAACAGGATAAGCTGTATAGATAATGGTTTAATGGATGGAAATCCAATGCGTCTGCTCCACCTCCCATAAAAATATCCATCCAAGCCAGGCCAATGGTGGCTGTTTATCTACTATGGGGTGGGTTTGAGCTTGTTGACGTATTCAGACCAAGATGGCTGCTGCTAATGATGAACGATCTGAATCCATGATCATATCAGTTAAGAAAACTGGACAGTAGTTTAACTAAAGACTATAACTAGCTACATAGCCTAGAAGCCAAACACTAAGTCATGCTTTGCGTTGATTACATTGGTTTCCATCTTGATCTGAAATGAAGTGAGAGACACTAGACTAACTTGTGTTGCCAGGCTAAAGGTCAGGCTAAAATCATTAAAAACAACCTTCAAAGATACTCTTCTGACCAATGTTTGTATCTTAAGATGAAAACAAAGTTACATCTTCCTGCTGCTGATACAGTTTTGATAAGTACAGGGAGGTTGGAAGTCAGCATTAGTTTGAGGTGCTGAGAGAAGTCTTTCGATATGATGATGTCGCTCTGCTGTGCAAATTCAGATTTTATTAGTTCATTTCAATATTTTGGATTATTAATACTGAAGAGTATTAACTGCAGTTCATGAAGAGTTTAGAACATTTTAGAGAACAACCCTCACACTTCACAGATATGTGTCTTATGTCCAGGTTATAGTCTATAACAGAGCAGTGTGGGTGAGAAGCAGACATGCAGACAATATGCACACTGCATTAGTCTGTTAACAGACTCCAGTCTGCAGCGTTCGTCACACACTTTACTGGTAAATTGAGTTACGTCAGAAAAGATGATCAATAAGGTTTTGTCTCTCGTCTGCCCACCTGTCAGTTAATGGCACACTCCCTCACTCTCGCTCGTATGTGTATGCTCTCTCTCTCTCTCTCTCTGTCCCTCAGAAGTTGTTTCAAAGTTATTAAAAGATGAATCAACTGAAATTCCAGATTTCAGAGTAACATCTAGTTATGCTGCTCAGTCTGAAAGGATGATCAGACATCTTTGATTGCTTAGAAACACCTCAATGTGTGCACAATGATGGAAAAGCTCCATCCTGCTGTGAGTTGTAGTAATCTGCAGGAAGTATTATAAACAAGTTACCGACTACTGGAGTAGAAAGACAAAAAAGTGATCACTAATATCTGTGTGCTACATCTTGTAGCCAATAAAACAGGTGAAACAGTTTTATAAAGTGGTTGTTTTAACTGTGCCTGATTGTAGGGGGTGCAGCACCCTCAGCACCCCTACGTCCCTCGTCTCTGGTTAACTCCTTTTTTTATAATCAATAAAAATCACACCATGTGAAAAGCATCTTTTTTTCTGTTTTGGATTTTTTGGATATGTTTCTGGGACAGCTCAATCTTAAAGCCAAATGAGTTTGACAGTTGGATGAATACATGCCCCCCTGTGTCTCTCCCCCCTCAGGATGGTATCTGCTGTGTAAAAGTCTTCTCTCACTGATGCTCCGCTCTCCCAGTTTAACCCTCCACTGGCAAAGGGCTACAAATACACACATGACACATCAGTAGTACTGCGTCTGTCTCATGCGCTGACAGACAGTAAAGACAACAAGAGTAAAGAGGCAGACAGCAACAGCCTGGGGGTTTGAAGAAGAGGGGAGGGGGGGGGGGGGGGGTTCTTCATCCTTTTGTAACAGAACAATGGGAATGCTGATGAGGGCCATCAAAAGCCAACACAAACTCAAACGGTTGCTTCTTGTCACCCACTTTGAAAGAAATGCAGGGACAAATACAGATATGACACACACACACACACACACACACACACACACACACACACACACACACACACACACACACACACACACACACACACACACACACACGCACACACACGCACACACACGCAGACACACTCACAGACTTAAGCACCTGCTTTGTTTGTTTTGTAAGCAATCCAGGACAAGACATAAACAAAAAGCCCAGGTGTTAACTTGGCAATGTTTTGGGTGTGGCTCACGGCTGATAAAGCGGAAAAGAGGACAGCACACTACCTACAGTACTGATTCATTTCATAATCGAATCATCAGCTGTACTTATTATTTTTCATTTTATTGTTCAGTTGTACCCCTTCACATTCTGTTTGATTTTCTGCTTAAAATATCCTTCTGAATCTTCACAGTTTTGAGGCTTAAAAGTTAAATCTAAAACATTTAAAGTAACGATATTCAAGATTCTCAAAGCAGGTTTACAAAAGCCCAAAGTCAAACCTTTCAAATGTTTCAGTCCAAAACACAAATGTACTTACTTAGCAATAACTAATTTTTTTTAAACTAAAAATTCAAGGCATTTCTCTCTTTTACACAATTCAACTTCAAAGGATTGAAAAGGACTGTATGGGACGATACTATTTTATGACATTTGGATAAATAAGGGAAGAAATAGAAATCTATTAACAGAGCATGAAACAAATCTTAAGTTGTAGGCCTGAATACTTAGTCATTTCATTTTTGTTTAAGTGCTGTTTTTGTATTTGTTAAACACTGAGCATACATGTAGATCTAGGAGAAGGTGGTTTATGTATTCAAAGTAAGTTGCAACCTGGCGGGGGGAGGGGGGGGTTCTCAAAAACCCACAGCCTGAAGTGTAAGTGAGAGTTATTCAGAGTAAGTGCAAGTGCTGTCTTTTATTTGGGAGTGTTCTTAATCTTAAATGCACAAGTGTCAGAGTCAGATCTGCGAACCTCTGTTGACACCGCATACGATTACAACCACCGACACAGCTGAATACCAGCAAACAAATCCCCCTAATCTACCAGAATGCTCACTTCCCCTCTCTCCTATCCTTTTCCACCCTCTTATCCAAAGGGAAAAAGAACTCTTGACACCCTCGTGCTGTCACAGGAGATGCTAACTGTTCCACCAATCAGGAGGATTTCAGTAATTCAGAGACAGCCGGAGCCCAGGAAATGAATTAAAACCTCCAAGAGAACAATGGTCAGCTGTTTTATATCCGGAACACACACTGATCAGCGAGGGTAAGGCAGTATAAGTGCGCACACACACACACACACACACACACACACACACACACACACACACACACACACACACACACACACACACACACACACACACACACACACACACACACACACACACACACACACACACACACACACACACACACACACACACACACACACACACACACACACACACACACACACACACAGAGCATGACAGACAGATAACACACTATGCCAACACGCCCCCTCACTTCAGGGCAGGCTGCGAGTGTCTTGGCACCCACAGATCACAACAATCTCCTCCTGTGATCAGATTAGAGACTTAATGTGAGGTAATGTGTGTGAGCAGACAGCTGACTGACTGACTGACTGACTGACTGACAGACAGACTTACTGAGACTGTTTTTTTTTTTGTCGTCTGAGTCGTACCTGGGATGTGTTTTGCCCAGCCGATGTTGACCACCAGCTCTCTGTCGGCGAGGTCGCACAGCGTGGTCAGAGCCTTGATGTCGCTCTCGGGCACGGTGGGGTCAGGCATGGCAAAGATTCCCTCTGGCTCGGCCACCAGTAGCAGAGACACCACCTTGTTTTCCACCACACTGCCAACAGTGACTGACAGGTGAAGAGAGGGTTAAAATCGATTTGTAATATTAAAAACATCTTGATTTTTCCAGGGCAATCGCAAACAGATTTTAAATAATTAAATAATTTCAGTTTAGGAAAAAGTAGTGGTGAACCAGTGAGATCCTGGTATCAGATATTAGTCTGATACCTACTCAAAATAGCTATCAGTTATCAGTTACAATGGGCTGATCCATGGGGCCAATCTATTAAATTCAGTTCTATGCTATTCTGTGTTTACAGCAGCATGTGCGCGTGCTGCATCATCAGTGCGCTGGTAGGATTGTGAATTTTGATAAGTGAAGTCAACATCGCATCAAGGGAGCTAATAAGAAAAACTAGTTAAATGGAACAAAGACAGCAGGTGAAACAAAATGAAGCGGTCAACATTTTTATTGCAAACATGTAAGAAACTTTGCAGTGATGTTTTGACACTAAATGGTACTGTTTGCGATCACATCAATATTTGAGTTTGCTCTGCCTGGTGTGTCTACAAGAATATATGAGAACACTTATCAGAAGAGTTTATCAACAGAAATGTTTTCTAATTTCAGAGTGGTTAGAGTTACTGGCTATGGTGTGGGTATGCATGAAAATGATCTCAAGCATTAATTCCAGATCACTGCCGGATGGTTTCTGGCCGAGTGGGATTTAATTTCCAATAAAACTTTTTTTTCCCCCAGGCTAAATTTGGTAATTTTAAATCAAAAGAGACAGTTTACCGATAAATGGTAAAGAAAATTAACTTTAGGCTCAATAAAAAAAAAAGTACTTCCAAAGGATAACTCTAAATTTGTGTGGTATTTTTGTATCAACGATCACAATGGGGCCGTTTTTTCTAGCTCAAGGAAAGTTTTGAGAATTCTCTGGACAGCAATCTACAGGAGTCTATTACATCTAATTAAATCTTTGCCCTTCAAGAACTACAGTCAGCGTTGATTAATGCCAGGTCATTAATAATTACAAGCTATAAAAAAGAACAGAGCGCAAAATATGTAAAGTAAAGGAATCCATAATATATCAGGACAACTCATCCAGTTGCAGTTGTGTTCATAATGCATCATAGCTAATGTAAACTTCAGTTTTACTACACTTACAGGTTTTTTTCTGGGGCAAGGCATTCTGTGGGTGCAGGTACGTGCTGTTCTCAGCGTCTATTCTCCTCTTGTACTTCTGTCTGCCGCCTCGGACACGGTCCAAACGCACACCTGCAAACACACAAACACAAACACAGGTCGTTAATGATACATCTGGGTTACAATCACACTAAAATAAAAACCTTTTCTTGATAAGTTCTGGACACACATGCGCACAGAAAGTGCAGATGTTTTTATTTATAGTAATTATTAAATGGTATTGCAAATACAATTGAAAAGAGACACAAATGAAGGTAATGATGCATTTGGCAATACAGTCAATTAGTTTTATTGTTCACATTCTATCTCAGTGTTATTCTATTTAAGGATTGTCAGACCTGTTAAAATAAAGGTTAAACAATAATATTCATTTATTTTTTATGTTTGGATTTTGGTGACAATGTAATGAAGTTGAGTTGAGTTTTATATCATTTAAATATTTCATAATGATTAACGATGACCACAGCTAGAAAGAGACTAATGTTTGCACATTGATACCAAAAGACACATGTATTTGAATAGACATTTCTGTAGGGGGGAAAAATTGAGGAGCTTGGAGAGAGTGTGCAGATTCTTTCAAGAATCGATTACTTTTGTCTGACTACCGTTAAATCAGGTGATCAGTTATCAGAGAGACGCTTCAATCAGAACTGGACAGGCACTCACCGGATGTTCACAAATCACCTGTCACAAGTCTTAACGATCCTGAGGACACTGAACGGGACACAGCGGCACGCTTCCTGTAACACGATACCCCGGCGACTTTAGAGCAGCCGATGACAACTGCTCATCTTAACGAGCATTGTGGTAACCTTGTCGCCGTTCTGACTGTGTGTATAGGGGGGTAGTTGGATACGGAAAGTTGATTGGATTCATGTTCATGGCAAAGGAACGGTCACCTGGTGCATGTGTAAAGACAATGTGAGTCCAGAGAGTGTGAACGTGACTCACGACGTCTTCAGTAGTGGTGTTGGGTTTCCTGATCTGCACGGTGTAAATGACCACAGTGGCCCTGATTCTATAACGGCACTCGCATTTGAAAGAGACACTCCGAGGGTATTATTTGCCCACTTGACACCTCACTGCGATACTCCATCCCTGGTGGCCTGCTGCCTCCTGTACTTACTCTTACTTGTGCAGATATTTATGGAGAGCATGCATGTTAATCCACAGCAGTAAATAATATAATGTAACTTAATCAGTCAGGACAAATGTGTTGAAGTAAAGGGTTATATGTTTGGAAAAGTTCTTAGTTTTAGCATTTTTAAAGTATTTGTAACAACACAATAACAGCATTTTTTTTTTTTTTTTTTTTACAGTACCTGCATCAGGAGTTACTGTGAGAGGAGATAGGAGAAAGATGGATCACACATGACCTTTGACCCCGCCATAAGCCAACAGGCTCTACCATAAGACTATTATGAAGTATAATGCGCCAATGTTGTATGACAGTATATTTTTGCATTCAAAGCTCCTTAGAGGTCTGCCCATAAGCCTATAATTCCATCAGCTTCTCACACTTAGCGATGCAGTCCTATGTAAACACAAAATCTTCTGTTTGGCATGTAATGTTTGTTCGTCGTTGAAGTATTTGGGATTAAATTGAAAACAAAGTGGTTAACCAATCAGGGTTAAAACATATTTAAATAAAAAGTTCAAGGCAACTTTGTCATATGTAATATACAGTAGTTATTTGCTGTTTCATTTTCTTGATTATATTGATAGTATGTGATTCATTGAATGCAGTATTTGAATGTTGGTTTCCTGGTATGTCCGAGTGAGGATTGTTTTGTTTTTGCATGCTTTCACCTGTGCACCTGTGTACGTGACTGAGTCTGGTGGGTTCGTCGGGGGCAATGAGCCTCTTGTATGTGAGTTAAAGAAACGTACCACGATGTGCCACGATAAAGCCAATTGAATCAGTCAAATGGAAAACGGCTGAAATATGTCAATGTTTCTCTTTTCATGCTAGCCTGGTGTGTTGTACTAAAACAAAAAAACAAAACAAAAAAAGCATCACATTTTGTGTAACGAAGGTAAAACTGATAAGATGAATTGTAGAATAGGATTTGAGTTGGCAGTTTTGGGGGTTTAGTGGAAGAAGTGACGAGTTTGTGGGAAGATGAGTGGGGCATTAGAGCAGAGATTGGGTGGGCAAACTCAGTGCCCTCTGAAGCTCTGGTGATGTCATGAGGGGCAAATAGTAAGTGTGGATAATCCTGGGCACTTAGCAGGTGCTGCTTTGAGGTGTGAGATGAGAGACCAGGGTGCCCGTCATCAGATTTAACACAAACTTGGCAAACTGTGGATTAAATCAGAAAGCTTTCAGACATTACATTTGTAGAAAAAGTGTATTTTAAATGTGTATATTTCTGTTTGCGTGTGAGTGTGTGTGTTAAAGCTTGACAGTTATTCAAACACACACATCAGAGCTAAGTGTAACTCTTCACAGTGGAATGTGCTGACAACCAGAAGGCCAGGAATAGCTTTGGCGGATAACAAAACAGACACACCTCCTCCCCGTTCTTCTGCACAGCCCATCAGCGTTCGATAAACACAGACTGCTCAGACATTGATCTATTTTTTGCAGCTTTTATCCCTCGGCCTTCTTCTCAGAGTGTCCACTCCGGATCTTCGCACGGGGGGGCTTTACAAGTTCCCAAAACGAAACACGGCTAGTACAACAGGTTCAGGAACATCCAGCCGCTGATATCCCAGACTGATCTGTGTTACCATGTTCTTGGGCATCAATCCCTTCCTCCTCCTCCTCCTCCTCCTCCTCCTTCACCACCACCACCAGCATGTGTTCAGTATAAACAATCCCACGCAACTCAGACATTGTGCCAAATGTACACATGGCTGCTGCCCCCCGATGTTACTGTGGCGTCACGTTCCAATTCGCGCAGTCAACAAATGAAAGGATTTGGAAAGTTGGCAGAGAAAAGTTCAGTTCTGTTTGGCTCTGATGCTTTTCTCAGAATACAGATTATCACACCTGAGACCAAATGACTTTAGCCAGCAGGAACAGGAAGTGGGGGATGTGATGAAAGAAAAAAAAAAGCTCCACTGATCATACATCTTAGAAGGATAAATCCATTTAATTCCAGGATGGCACATTTTGCAAACATACATGTGTTTACTGTCCTGAGAGGCGACAGCAACAGCAGAATCGTCCACTAAACAGGGCTTAATCAAATCCTGCCTGGGGTCTATATGTCTTTTAGCTGTGTGTTTAATAAGGCTCTGACTCTGCCCATTAAACCTCACAGCTCCTCTGTCTCAGCCTTTACTGCGGCCTCTCCAGGGAACAGGGGGCATTACGAGACACGATGAAGAGTGTTATGAGGGTGCTTACGACGGGAGTTACGAGGGGCAGTTCGCATTTCATGGAGGTCCAGGAATCCCACAAGGCATCTGGAGGAATTTACGAGGGGGGAGTGAAAGCAAAAGGGGTAGATAGAGAAGGAGGAGGAGGAGGGTCAAGAGACGGACTGGGATGCTGTGGATGCCCCATACACTATTAAAAGTTGCTAATTTAGAGAAAGTGCACACAGACTCACACAAAGCGCATAGAGGTTTGTGCAGAAATGTGAGTTCCCAGTGACATGTGTTTAAACAAACTCATATACAACAGATCTGCATGTAATGATGCCTTAATTCTATTTATACATAACCGAGAACACACACAGCAGTAATAAACAACATGCTGTGGTGAATCTGAAGATGAGTAGGTGGCTTTAAAGGACCATTCCAGTTTATTACATCTGAGATATTATTTTCATTGTCTTGGCTATCAAAACATTTAGACTTATAAAAGAGACCATTTAGCTATGTAGCAACAAAAAAGTCTGGGAGGGGCTAAAAAGAGCAGTCAGACAGGACAAGTGCTGTAAACAAGTCAACAAGAGAACTACTTCTCTAAGTTTGTAGGTCAAAACAAAAGTAAGTGCATCCAAAATGATCAGCATCAGATTCAGCTTAATTTGTGAGATTTTACTTTAGAGTGACTGTGTTTTGGTTATTATTGTAAGGATATGTTTTTCTCTGTTCCAAATAAGCTAGACTAAGGCCCCGTGTCCGCCTAGCGTTCATGGCTAGGTGGCTGTGCGCTCGGACGCGCTTGCATTAAGCGTTTGTGCGCTGAGAAGAAAAGCGCTGCACGTCCGTCCTGTCTCTACGACAACAGTCTGTTGACAACGGTCGCTGTATGATCGACACTGCTCCGATACTTTTTACTGTATGTTCATTATTTTAAATCATTTATTTCATGATCAGACACTGAGCAAAGAGGATGTGGGTACAAGAAACAATCTGTAGGCGGTAAAAATACTGGAAATATCATGCGTTCGAAAAAGAGCGCCAGCGACGTAAACAGAGCCTTTCTGAAAAGTTGAAAAACTTGAGCGCTCGGAGCTCCAGAATTGTGTAAAGGCCTTGTGATCTTATTTTTTTTAAATGACAAAATATGGCATGCAATCTTTTATTTTCAAGTTAAACTTGAACATCTCTGATCTGCGTCTTCACACAATTAAGCGTAAGCTAGCTGTTTTGACAGGGCTGACTTCAGATGTTGAGAGGGAGTCGGAAAAAGGAGGACATTTATAATCTCTGAATGAACTGCTCTATGAAATCATTCTATATTATAGAAATCTGTAGGACAGACGAGAAGGGTGAAAAAATATCTTAAACTGTATGAACCGTTTTCATGTGCTTAATTATCAAGCCAAAAAGCTGTTAAGCTAGCTATTTCTCTGCTTTTTACGCCATAGATAATTATTCAATAAACAAAATCCTGTACAATCCTTTTTTCACATGTTCCCTCGGTCTACGACAGACACTCACAGACAAGACTGATCTGCTTTCTCCTCCTCATTATCCTCTCTTGCTCCTTCACAGCTAGCAGCATCTGTCCGTTACAGTAGTAGGTCGCTGATGTTTTCCTTTTTGAGTCACTTCTAAATCTGGACTACAACATGTCATCAGACAGGCACACAGTCACACTAAAGGAGCACCTGACGGCTGTCACAGACATCTATGTAAAGGCTATGTCACCACTCTTAAGAGTTTTGTGTGGAAAAGATAAGGACAGTTTCAATGTGAAAGCTGGTTTAAAAAGGTGTTGTTATAATGAGTCATCCTTAATTTAACTGAGACGAGTCGTTTGAGGGGTGTTAATAAAATCGAAGGTGATTTGGGTGTAGTAAACCACTGCTGTGTCTATAATTAGTTTACAGAATTTTTTTTTTTTTTTAAATGTTGTTGTCCATCACAAAACAGTAGACACTGGGTAGGTCCAATTCACATTATATTCCACACCCATAAAAATTTATATTTTCTTTAAAAAAATCCCTACATTTGAATTTTTGTAAAGCAACAGTTTGCTCCACCAGTACACATACACACACATGCATGCACTCAAACACATGCACTCAAACACACACATACGCACAGACAAAAGCAGATTATGGAGGAACACTGGTTAAGCAGTGATGGACATGTTGGAACAGTAAACAGCCCTCTCTTCCCTATCAGAGACGTGACTATGAATTGTTCAGCCCTGTGTTTACTACACACACACAGACCTACACACACATCACAAGTGACACAAAGGGGCTGAAGTTTAACTGTCAAAGGTTTTAGGTTTCACTGCACTTTACAGAACTACAGTACAGTCCATCACCAGTCCATCAGGTGAGAAACTAAGAGAACCTCAACCTGTAATCACACTATTGTTTCCAGGAATGCGAGATTAAAAAAAGCACAGTGAGACTCTTCACTCTGAGTGCTTTTTTTCCTCCAACTTAACCAATGAGGTTTTGAACTTCTGCCAAAGCTCCCAACTGATCAATCCCACAAGAAAGGCAAGTCAAACAAAGAATGGACCCATGCTCTTTGAGTAATTTACGTGTCTAACTGACCTTCTCTCAACATGCCCACAGCCAGACATTTCACAAATCGACAGGCCTGGCAGGATTTCCTTCTTCTCTTGGTGATTTCACATTCATTGGAGGCAGGGCAGCTGTACTCAATGTTACCTAGAAAAGACAAGGGAAAGACAACAGGTCATTTTGTTTCAATTTAAATGGAGAAACTGGAGCAATTTTAAAAATGTGCGGTACGTCATTTATTTCTTCATTGAAGTCTTAAAAAAGTTATCATGATGGTATTTAAGTTTCCTATATGTTAGGACATTTTAACTTGACCATGTCACAGAATGAGATTCTTAATGCATGCTCCTGTATGAACGTCTTGACTTGGTAAAGTTGGAGGAGTCAGGAAACGCAACAAATAATTGAAAAGTCAAAGCGACATTTTTAGTTCACCCATCCAATCTTACGCTTCCCCTAATGCACCTGGAGGAGTGTTTCATTAGACCAGATCTTTCAACTCCACATCTCCACTTCTTGCAACTCTGGCTTTCTTTTCCAAAATCTAATTTCAAGCAGAAACTAAGATGACTCCAATGACATCATTATGACATCATCAGGGATTATTTATTGCTTTTCGTCAAAGCTCTCGACATACCGGCACAGCACATTGAACAACTGTTTTGTCAGGCTTTGAAGTGGAACTTATGATGAGTAAACTTCACTTTATGCGTGGAAATCAACAGCATGCACCTTTACATTTTCACCTTCATTTTGGCTGCATTGGAAAAAAGAAGAAAAACATTCCCAACACCTATTAGAGTAATAGCCATGACAGCTAAAGATCCAGGTTAAGTCTGGTGGCATTCAGCCAGTTGCAGGCGCTCTCAGCTGCCTCCCTCAATCAGAAACAGGAAGTATCTGATAAGCCAGACATCAGATCTTCCCATTTGATCCAACATCCTCTCATCCCGATTGCCCTCTGAACCCAGCCAATTCCTAGAGGTCTTGACACTACGCAGCATGTCAGGTCTCCCACAGAGTGCAGGACAATCTTATTAAAACACCCACACTGCCTGCCACTGATCCTTGCGACTAACAGCTTTCAGGGCTAAAACGACTGCACACACAGTCTGCACACTATGTTATCTGAGGCTTTAAAGCATAAACTCAAACATGTTTACTATATACACGACACGGTGTAAGTTTAACCACATATCAGCTGTTTGCAAACAGGTCTTTATTTCAAACCTTTCCGCACCTTGAGAGGCCAGAGCTGGAAGCAGTGAACTAACTGATTGTGGGTTGTTTACACCAAAACAAATGCTCAATGTTGCTTGTAAAACAGGTTTAGATGATGCAGGAAGGCATTATCAGTCATGCATAAAAAGAACTCTGTTACTAAGTATGAAATCCAGACCATTTCTGCTTGTGTGTGTCTTTCTCTTACCCTGGATGGTCCTCTTGAAGAAGGCTTTGCAGGCCTCACAGGAGGCCACACCGTAGTGGTAACCTGAAGCTACGTCACCGCACACGAGGCACACTCGCTTGGCCACTGTGCCCAGCATGAACTCACACTTCACTTGGCTTTCTCCATCCGCAAACCTCCTGGATAGGAGAAAAGAAATGAAATTAGAAAGAAAATGGGGAGATATCAAAAAAATCTTCTTGTGTAGTAACATGATTCCCCCTTTTAGACATGTTAGATACACTAATTAAGGCGCAGTATAAACTGTGCACCAACCTGTTTGTTCCCACATTATTGGCCAACACCGCTGGGTGACCGTAAAGGCCCGGTGAGTCCAGGCTGTGGTTGTGTCCTTTGGTCAGGGGCCCATAGCTGGAGTTTGTGTCTGATGAAGAGCTTCCAGGACTGGGCTGAGCCGGGCTGACGTCCCCCTGAGAGCTTGGGCTCGGGCTTGAGGGCTCACGCTTTATTGTGGATGGACAGGTGGGGTCCAAGCCCCTCAGTGACATCCTGCCAAGATGTCTAGAAAAAGGATGACAAAAAATGTATTAACATGATTATATATGCAACCTTATTGTGATACATATTCATGATGGGGAGATTTGACTTTGGACTCAGCTTTATGTGATGACTCACCTTGGTATTGTTATAAATATTAATGAAATGTAATTGACCTTCAGGGCTGTAGGCTTTGATAAGTTTTATTAAGTCAGGCATCATTTACACTGATAGCAATCTAGTAATAAGCAGCTTGGAAATATTATCACCTTTCATTTATGGATTAAAGCAAGTGTTTTATAAACCACAAATAGAAGTGCAGAGGAAATGCATCACTCCCGTCCTTAATATATTTTTTTTAGTCCTGAGGCTATTTCCAGTTCTCTATCTCGATCTGTCCCTTCGCTTCATGCATCCATCCATCTCCATCCTATCTAAACCGGCCGTTTTGGATTTCCCACATATGCAAAGCTGCTGGCCATAACACGGCTTTGTTTTCAGAGGTGAGGATTGTTTAAGCAAACCTATGGAAATAGCCCAAACCAGTGATCACTGGGTCATCTTGCCTATTAAGTTCAAAACCAAACCAAGACGCATTTCTCTCTCACTCTCACACATTTCCCTTGCAAATTTTTTGCGTCTCTCTATTATCTTATTGTCACTCTTACTGTACATCAAAATCAACCAGTCAAACTCTGCAGCCAGTGAAACAGGTTGTTTGGACAGTTATTAGCCTTATTTCACTATAAGGAAATGTTGGAAAGTATTAAACAAGTGTTAAATGTTATGACTTATAAAACTAACAAATGCTCGTTTTTGTTTGGGTTTGTTTTTTTGGAGCAAGAAAGAGTCAAAGAATCCCTAGTGATCACTTATACATGGGACGTTCCAAGGATAACATACATTTGATTTGGCTGTTGATTATTGTCTAAATACTTGTGTCTTGGAATTTAAAAAAATTACTGATATCATTCCATCATACGTGCTTTGAATACATCCTCAACTAGGCCTGCATGTCAAAGTGTGTATCACTACTTTATTATTGGACCAAGATGTGACCACAACAGACTCTCTGTCACCACAGCGAGGAGAAAAGAGCCTCTGACCAACGCAGCAGCTCACTGGCATGTGATCCACACACCACCATACACACCACGAAAGATACACACACACACACACACACACACACACACACACACACACACACACACAGACACACACACACCCTAAAGACGCTCACCTACATTTCTGCATCAGACATTCATGTGTGCGTGTAAAAATAAAAACATAGACAGGCTCCCACTTCTCTCCATATACTTCAGATTCACGTGACGGGGAACATGTTCACACTGCCTGCACACACACTTACAGACACATTTTAAAGCAAGTGTCTTCATAAACACCCCGACACATACTTGCATGCAACTGTGTGTCGCCAGGCTAACTTTAAAAAGCCCTCTGCTGTCTCCAACTGTGTCTCCAACTGTGTCTCACACACACACACACACACACACACACACACACACACACACACACACACACACACACACACACACACACACACACACACACACACACACACACACACACACACACACACACACACACACACACACACACACACACACACACACACACACACACACACACACACACACACACGAGGTGGCTTTGTGTGTTTCCTGACATGTAAATCAGTGTTTTTGGTGCAACAGGTGATTTGGTAGGCAAAAACAATGGCTGCTTTTAACCACCCTCAAAGTGAGCCATGGGCACGGACTACTGACCCCTCTATATACCCACAAAATCCGAGGTACAGATGAACAGACGGACGGACAACAAGTTAAGATAAGAGCTCAAACTAAAAGGCTGTATCATTTTTTTAAAATCTATACAGTACCAAACTGTGGTATGGATTGACAAAGCTGCTAGTTTTTTTATCTTAACATTAATATTAATTTAGACTGTTTGTTTAATACACATTTAATCTGTTTTCATTTATCTTTCTAGTCATTTAGGATTAGCCAAATCAAGCTTCCAAAACAAAATAAATATTGTTTTATTCAACGGTGTTCGCACCATCATTCCAGTAAACATTCTGTTCACACATCCAATATCCACAAGGTTACTTTCAAACACCTTCTGACTCTTATTACTGGTCCTTTGACAAATACAAGTCCAACATTCACCCTTATTTTAGCTCTGTTTTGGTCTCCATCATCTCGTAGTAGAATTTGGCATTTTAGCTGTCCAATAATGGGCTATGTTAAATAGCAGATCTCTAATGTTATTTCAGTGGTTTAAGCAGCGAAGAGTGGCTTGAGTTGAGTTTTTTCACTGGCTGTCCATTTTTTTTTCAGTATGTCAATAAGGCAGTTAAAAGTCAGCCATGGCAAGCCGAGGGCTGTTAAACCAAAACAGTTCACCTAAAGAGAGGAATCCTAGAAAGTATTATTTTGTTACCAATGCTGAAGTTCAGGTATTGATTTACCATTAAAAGAATGAAAAATATGCAACAATACATTTTATAAACATGCCAATTTCACCCAAACAAACAATTAACAGCACAACCTCCCCCCCACGCCCAAGGGAAAAAAAAAACAATTAACACCACTCCGCCACTAATTAACTAAAACCTTTAGCAACCCTCCCCATTCTCCCATTCAATCTTAAGACTACACAAAATCACAGTCCAGTGAGGAGGTTTCACTTTCCTTTTAAAATGACTCACTGCTTTACTTATTGACTATCAATCACAGTCGTCCATATCGATGTGTCAGCACTCTGACAGGTAGACAGGGACATATTCTTGTTGTTCGCTCGCAATAATTCATCACATGGGTGGGAAGGGGGGGGGGGTGGGGTGCGTTGGTGTTTTGCTTTAATAATGAAATGACATTAAAGTGGGGTGATCAGATGTGGTGTCATATTCACACTGACAGATGAGTAATCTACAACTCCACATTAAGTGAAGCATCAAAAGACAGTTGGAGCGACTCCTACAGTAGCATGCAGCTGGGATAAATCAGAGTGCGTACAGGTGCGTGTGTGAGGTGCGTGTGTGTGTGTGTGTGTGTGTGTGTGTGTGTGTGTGTGTGTGTGTGTGTGTGTGTGTGTGTGTGTGTGTGTGTGTGTGTGTGTATTCAAAGTTATCATACCTCTCACCCCTTTGTGTTCCAGTATCCAAAACAACTATAATTGCACCCTGGCAACAAAGTCTAAAATGCAGCGTGAAATGACAAGGAGAGAACAAAAAAAGGGGGAGAAGAAGAGGAGGCGGGAGGAGATTACTAGAGAGGCAGACAGATAGAGGGAATGTGAAAAGGCTGGGAAGGGATAAAAAAAAAAGAAGAAGGAAAGGGGCCGTGCCTGTGGCTCATTAACCTGGGGGACGGGGGGGACGGGGGGGGAGAGGGGTGGTGTAAAAAGAAAAGAGGAGGCAACACTCACTTTCAAATGAGTGGAGTCATAATGCAGACAATGAGCCAGCGGATGAAGGAGGGAAGGAGGGTGAGAAGAAAGAAAGGAGGGAAGGAAATACAGAAAATAAAAGGGGAACTGACCAAAAGATAAAAAGAAAGGAGGGGTTTAAAGCACACCTCACAGTGAAAATAAAACGCTTAGGTCCTCCAAAAAATGCTCTTGTTGCCTAACCTTTCCAGTCTAACCCCAAACCCTGAGGAGCGGCTATTTAGGTCAGTGGGGTCTCAGTTACGTTTTTTCCTAATGAGCCAGTAGGAGATGAGCAGGGATCAGTGGCACCCCCAGCCAGCCGTGTAAGAGCCTTAGTAAGGCTTTGGAAGAAGCTGTTAACTGAGAGATGAGGTGCCTGTGGCTGCAGCCTGGACCCGCGCGGGCTTCTGGAAACACGGATAGCGTGCCATACCCAGGATCATCTGTGTCCTTTTCTCCATTCTTTATCCGGCTGCTTCTGTCACTGGCAATCAGCAGACCTGAGCATCCAAACGTCCTCTGCCATGCTGTCGTTTTTGATCCATGTCTGTCTGTCTGTCTGTAACTGCCTCTGACTATACAAATTATTTTATCTCTCATTGCTTGGAGAAAGAGTTAATCGAGTCTTACAAACTGTCAATGAGGGTGCAGGATGTACCCTCAGAGGTGAGGAGTATATAAGCCTCTGCAGCGATGGTAACGAACGTGACTTTTTCCCCCCGATGATTACAGAAAAGTGCGGCAATCAAAAAGCAGTGACAAGGTTATCAAACAGCTGCTTTGCACATCTTTTTCTCAAACGTCATTTGCTTTGCTTTGGGGAATAAATGTCTCTGTTCTTCAACAACAGGACTGGTTTTCTCCAAACTGGTCTCACCCAACTACTCTCAGGCACTATCAACAAACAAACAGGCAGAACAGTGATGACTGTAAGCAATACAAACACACCTGTACTCCTGGGAAATGTTCATTGTCCCTTCCCCATAGCATTCAGGGGGGGAAACACTTTTAATTTCAAGCTTATTTGTGTTGCCCTTTATCTAGAATGCCTCAATAGACCTGATGATTTTAGAAAATTAACAGATACATACAAAGTCATACATCACTATATAATCATTGATTTAGAGTTTGATACATGTTTTCATGAGATCAAGCATTCTCCACTCGTGTGATTTTCTGCTTCTTCTGTTTTATACAATACAAATGATTGTTTTAGGATTTTTCTGTAAGATCCAACAAGACCTTCTATGAATTAATTTTGCACTCTGGGAAACGTGTGACGAGCTTTAATCTTTAAATTCTGACTTTTTTAAGACTTCACGATTAATTGGTTAACAAAGAAGACGCTCATCCAGTTAGTGAAGTAACTCTTTGTACACATGTGCAGGCCTAAAACTGATATTGGAACCTTTATACAATAATAAACAGAGGATGGGTGTTTTTCTTTTTTATATATATATTTGTGGCTTGTATTCATTCTCAAGAAGAAACAGAGATTTCAATTATAAGAGTGGATCAAGCTATTTTTTTCCTATAATGATGCACTTTTACCAAGAAATGTCTTCATTTTTTGATGGACCTGTAATGACATCAGTGCTCTGAATTAAATTGTCTATTCAAAGCATGAAAATAACTTTTTAAAGACATACATTTATTTTTCAAAATCTTGAAAATCGAGAGCAAACAGCAGGACAGGAGGCTACATAACACAAGTGGTGTGTCCCACAACATAAAGTAGGAAGCATAACTTTTACACACAACTGATGCACTAGCCTACAGCTGTGTGAGTGTGAGTGTGTGCAGTGATTTGGAAAGAGGGAAAGGAGCCTACTTACTCTGTGTCAGAGTGATAGGTGAAACACTCTGGGAGGTAGAGGTCGACTAAATCCATGTGCACTCTGCCACCATGCTCTGAAGAGGAGAAAATGTTGTGTCCGCAGATGTCTTACTGACTTCTTCTCCTGTTCAGCGTTTGTACTCCCTTCAAGCTAAACAAATGGGTACACTAGGATATCTTTCGGTCACTTGCGCTGTCTTCAGCATCCAAACTCTGTCTCCATCTACCGCCCTCTCCTCTGCTATAAGACACTCACAGCTCCTCTCATGTCTCCCTGCGTCCGCCTGTCTGTTCGTCTTACTGTCTGTCTGTCACTCACACTTCTCGCCCCGCTGGCTTCCCTTTGAAGTCCTCTCTGTTGTGACTAGCTGGCTCCGTGTGTGACAAGGGTTTCCAAGCATAACTCTGGCCCTCATGAATACCCAGCCACTACATTTGAATGGCCTTCCCCCGGAACACAGAGCCGGACCTTTATTGGCTAAGGTCTCAGCCAATGGGAGGCAGCCAGTCTTTGTGGCAGGTGGATGTGACAACAGAGGATGTTTTGGTACTTCGCTCATTTTAGGGTGTTGAAACAAAATTGTTCGGGAATGTAAGTTAAGTGCAGATGAGGAAAGAAAGGGGGGAAATTATCTCTGTGTCTCAAAGGATAATGTAACATCGTTTATAGCTTAAAATATATCCATCTATGATACACAAATGTTTGACCCTAATCACTTTGATAGGACAATAATGATCTATGCTCAGTTTTCAATTCGTTTAACTTAATCAAGTCAATTTATGACAAAACTAATTAATCAGTCAGTACATGTTCCCCTTTTATTTTATTTCATTGTTTAGCAGGAAAAGAGATGTAATGGTCAGTCGATTAATAGGCTTGTATCCCTTAAGGGCACTTGAATTATGAATTATTGGCATTTATCGGGTGAAAAGTCCATGTGCCAGCCTGTGTTTGTATTTTTTTTTTATATCACACTGAATTGAACATCTTTCGGGATTTCACCACTGACTGGACAAAAGTGTCATTGACTTTGAATCTGAAGGGCCTGTTGAGGATTTTTCAGAATTTCCTCACGTCATACAATCCTTGTTATTTTTCTTAATTAAAATGTTTCCAAGAGAAATCTGTAGCATTACTCAAAACTCAAATGTGGTGTTAAATTAAAGCTTCTAAAACCAATTACATGTGTACTGGTGCACAAGCACTTTGCCTACACTTACAATAGAAAATCATATTAACATTTACCAAGCCTCTATTAAATTGACACGTAAATAATATAAAACAAAATCTGCCTTTCTCACACAGACATGAATAGGGTAGAAAAAAACCCTGCTGTATTTATGTTGTAGCGTATCCTTAACTGACTTACTGCGGCTGGTCCAGTACTTCTATCTGATCTAATCAGCCATGGCTATGTGCCTAATGTGATGCTTTTCGCCTTTCGTTGACATCACACGTGCAGGCACGATCAGTAGCACAGTAAGCAGTGCTTAACACTCAAAAAAGGTTATCTTGTGCAGCACGATGTAGTTTGATATACAGGAAGAACAGCATCCAGGAAAACAATGGAGAAGTGTAAAATATGTCCTCAGTCCATGTATTTGTTGAATAATGTTCATTTTGCATACAAAATGTTGGATGTATTTTGATCAGATGAAGTGCTTCAATGAGTTGCACTTTACATTTCAGGAAATAGGAGATGGAGTAGGTATTGATAACAGCAATACAACAGCAAATCAGCTAATCGCTGCACTGATAAATCTTTTAAGAACTTTAGTGAGACTGATCAGAAAATAAATGTTCCTTATAGCAGAATCAAAAACATCAGATTTGATAGCTTCACAGGCTGTTTTGGAAGATGTAGAAAATGTAGATGACTAATCAAGACCGACAAATCCATCCTGAGTTTTAGGAACATAACAAGAGTTGGACTTTTATGTCTTCCTGGAAAAATTTTGGAACAACCCTCCCCTCTTAACCTAGATTGAGATGCACAAATGCATCATGTGTCCTTTAACTAAAAGCATGTGATGGAAACTATCATTTCCAGCCCAAAAAGTTCACAAATGATCAGAACAATGTAGCATCAAAGGGAGCATAGCACAGAGTTTCTGCTCCTGTCTTGACATTTTGCTGTGTCTTTCTCTCTCTCTCATCTCCATGACTTTGTGTTCTCAGATGACCCTTACAGGCTCGATCTGCACAGGAATGAAATCACCTGCACTAATCTGCTGCTCAGATAAAAGCCAGACAGCAGACTGCATAGAGCGGACCTTATCTTATTAAGCACCACATGAATCTGCTCACCAACAGAGAGACACACAAACACACACACACATTCACAGAGAGAGAGAGAGCGACACGTTACATGTGTAAACAAACTGATGAACTCAAGAACATGCCAAAACAACGGGGAAAGTAATAACACATTAAGGATAAAGAAAGAGAGGTGTTTTTGATTGTAGATAGTTTTTACTCATTAATGAAATACAAAAAGCCAGGGCACTTAATGCTACTATCACTTCAAATCTCCTGAAGTTAATAAAATATGATCTACGCTGAGAAATTCTCTTTCATTAAACATTTAGGAAACATAACGTTGATGTTAAAGCCAAGTGTCTCCTATCGCTCTGAGGCCTTGACTTTGGCAGCTGCTGTCAATGGACTCTTTACTGGCTCAAAGGCAGCTGAGGTGTGTTTCTCATTTTAAGACAGATGCCAAGTCAGTGACAGTAATTAAGCCAATTTAATATAAGTCAGTCTAATGTCAAGTGAAACAGCCACAAAGTGTATTTTCTGATGATTCACTTGTTTTTGTGAATAAAGGGATTTTTTTTAACTTTGTTCAAAGTGTGACTAACACATTTTTGATTAATGACTGAATTCTTCCAAAGCTAGCATTCCATTAGCCTGACTTTGTGTTAATAATGTCGGCATGCTTATATTATTAAATCAGTTTGTGATCATGATCAGCTTTTTTTTCTTGATAAACATTACAATGTTAGGATTTACACGCTTATCTTATCATCTCTAATAATCCCTGTGCTGCCTACTCGTATAGCTTTAGAGCTGTAGTAGATGGATGTATAATCTGAGTCTCGGTCTATCTGATTATTAACTGAAAATGTCCCTCACATTGTCCATGAACAGAATTTAACATCTTCTAATTGCATTGTTTACATAACAGTCGTTTAAAATCTTAATTCAGAATGTTTTCACAGCAAAAAGAACATTTGTTGTCTGCAGTTTTTAACATTTTTGCATATAATGTTGTATCAGTCAATTTAGTTCTGTCATTAGAGGGTGTTGCTGCTGCTAAATGGAAGCACAAATGCTGTCTTATAAAGTGATTTGTTTTGGTGTAGATATCAGTCAGTCACTAGACAGAAATACCACTGATGTTCCGTTTGCACATTTATTTCTACATCATGCAATATATCTCACTCTGTATATACTGAGAGAAACTGGTAGAAATTCTATCACAAAGTTAAAGGATTGATTTATGTTTATATCAAATATTCAACATTTAAATATCAGTGTTGGCCTTGAAAAACAACCGCTTTCAGTCAGATTGTAGTGTAGGGAAAATAACTGAAATCTCATGATGGATGTCAAACATTAAGATTCAATAAAAAACATCTTGTGCTTTTCATTTTGATGAAATAATAAAATTAGGGCTTAAAAATGGCATCAGTCTCAAAATAACAACAATTAAAAACGACTGAAGGCATCACTGTGACATGAGCCAAGAAGTATCCAGACATAACAGGAAGTACAAGCAAGTGAAATGCAGCACATGAAATTGAATACGCATGGCTGCAGTTAAACATCAAAAAATATTTTTACACTGCGAGGCTTATCTGAAGACAGGAGTTCAATAGCTGCTCCGGAGGGACGCAGTCTGTAACAGAACACCCGGCTGCCAGCTATTGACCCCAAACACCAGATGCATCCCATTTCATCCGAAGGAAAGGAAAAGTGAGCGTAAAGACGCCCTCGCACATGTCTCTGTGTCTTTGTATTCCCCCTTTTCTCCTCATCTCTTAACTCACAGCCACCAAATCTCAGCCTCCAGGGACGGCTGTCGGATTGACTTCCAAAACTGGACAGTCACTCTCAAACTCCAACATCCCAGCACACACTCACACAAACACACAAATTAGCGCCAACCCTCAGATGTAGAGAGTGTAATCTGCTTAGTTTATGCCTGACTCATAGTCATCCATCAATTACTCAGACAGAGGGGAAGACTATTGACACTGTGTGCAAACGCCATTGTCTCTCTGCATCGACACACAGACACTTAAATGGCCTTAAAAAGGTGGTGAGGGTGGAAGGGGTTGAAGAAAGGGAGAAGAAAATGAGGAAACATGATATAGAAATGGTAGGAAATAGCTTTGGCTTATTTGCATTCTTCACAGTTTCATGTCTCTAAATAGATGGATTGGAGGGAAATGATGCATCAAATGATTGACTGACTGACAGATGAGCACTTGGAATAGGATCAGTTTCATTGTATTGATCTCTAGCGCACTGTAAACGGATCAGAGGTCACAAACACACACACACACAATCATGCCAGAAACCTTAGAAAGCCTCTGGGAGAAGCTTAAAGTAACGCGACCATAGAAATGTCACTTAGAGCTGCTGGGACCGGCTGCTGCTGAAATCCTCGGGGGGTCATTGGTCTTCAAATGGCTTTCACTAATCTGGAGCCCCACTAGGAAGGAAGGGAATCAGTGCAGAGAAACATATATGCTCAGGGGGCAGGATTTCATTTGGGCTAATTTGGGAATGTTTAGGACAATGCAAAGACAAAACCTCACAAATTATGGCTCTTTAAAAGGTTAAAATGCCCCCAAAATCTTGGCTGGACTGCCCCCTGGTGGACAAATTATTGTGGATTTACAAAAATACCTTACAATGGACTGACCACAATGTTGATAAGGAAAGGAATGTGTTGAATGGAGCAGTGACTGAAGTTAACCCTGATTACGCTTAAATTCAGGCTCATTTCATTGGTTTCCCCAAAATCGTGACATGAAGTTTTCTGGCAGGTGCCCATCTGGAGGGCTCCTAGAGGCGATTATATAACCAAGCCTCTTCTAACAACATAATGTGGATTACCACAGCACAGCCCTCCTCATACTCTCAACAAGCAGTATTGGATTAACAGGTCATCTTCCGGTCTCAGGAGCTGAATTGCCTCAGTTCACCCTTCTCAGTCTGTCAGTGTGCAGTCTCCAGGTCTGCATGATCCAGATCTGTGGCATCTGTGGAAGCTGCTCAACATGTTGTCCAAAACTATTTCAATATGTATCTTTAGACTATTTAGCATGCATGTTGGAATGGTTCTAAAATATGTTGCTGTACAACTTGCACATTGCTTATATTTGGCAGCTTTAAAAGTGAACTATGTAGTGAAA